AAAACAAAAAAAAAAAACAAGCGGGGGAAATCATTTGAATGGCACATGTAGCCATTTGTCACCATGTATGAAACCACCAAAGTCCCACACACAGACGCCCACCTGGTCCACGATGGTTTTTCTCCATCCAGATGTAACAGTTGCTCTGGGCCACGCCTGTCTGGGAGTCCAGGAAGGGGAGACGCATGGAGCGCTCAGCACACAGACGGGCATTGTAGCTGCGACAGTGTTCAATGGCCTCCTTATAGAACTCTTCCCCAAGACTGGACCACACCAAAGAAAAAAGGGAGGAAAGAAAAGGGTCGCTCTAAACGGAGGGACACATCAAGCAGCAACAGAGCTAAAATACATTTAGGCAGGCTAGTGTCGCTCACTTTCAGCCTGTGTGTCCAAATTTGTGGAAGATCAAAACTACGGCCAAAGAGTTAGAGAATAGAGAATCCCTGCCTTTTCCGAAACCATATTTTGCCTTTGTCGATTTCAATTTAAATAACACAACTTCACTGGCTGCTGTAGATGTACTCTGCTGGGGAAGCGTTCAAATCACAAACACTTCAACGGTTCAAGAATTTCCTCATTGTTGCTCTGGTTAACACGTACACCCATTGAAAATGTCCCCCATTTTCACGCAATTATCGGAGTCGTATTTTGGAATTTACCGTCTCCGAAATAATCTTTACGATGGTTTGATTTTAAATGATCTCAATTGTTGAGGCAAGCTGTGGAGTTGCACGGTCCCATTAAAGTGCGGCTGATGAAGTAGCAAAGACTTCTCGACAGTAAAAATTCACGCAAATGTCACTATGAAAAACACGATTGCACTGTTATGTTTCCATTTAGGGATTTAGTCTGATTAACATTCAGTGCCACGTTGCTCTCTCTCTTACCTGTTCTTGATGACTGCACCTCCAGATTGCCTGTGGGGGGGAGAGAAGAAGAAGCCCAACAGATGCAGTGTGAGTTATTTTTCCTCTCGACCCATTTTCCCTTTCTCCATCCCACTGTTGGTTTGACTTTTCACTCCTTCCCCCCCACTGCCTTGCGCCTTCGGCTTATTTCTGCTCTATAGGTAAATCTTTATTTACTTTTACACTCTCTCGACATGATTTATTTTGCGTGCACACCTCCCTCTTTGTCTTTCTAAAGTTAATCACTTTTCTCTTGTGTCTTCCTGCTGAGCACAAGCGCCAAGGTCACTCCGGCTCTGCACACACCAGAAACATGACACACATGCCAAGCCAAAGCCTTGGTAACCAACTGTAACTCCCTAAAATCAAATGTAATGAACTTATGCTCTAAAATGAATACACACGTCACAAGACACGTCATTAGGTACACCCGGCCAGTCTAACAAAAGCAACATGCGAATGTACTCGTGTGAACGCAAAGGGTTGCTTGGTTTATTGGTTATGCAAAGAATGAAAACTGTTTGGTGGTCCCACCATCTTATATTAATTTATGATTTTTTTTTCTAAGCCTGTTTTATGCTGATTCATATTGTCTTTTAATGACAAGATGTTATGTGGTACTATGGGAGTTAACTGGCTGTTCGGAGGACAAGAAACGCGTGTGTTTGTACAATTGGCAAAATACACATAATTACCGAAGCTAGAAATTACAGATTGGAGAAAGCCAAGCAGTCTTTATTAGCAGACAAAAGAAACAACCCAACTTGCAATTTGCATTATTTTGAAAGTCTTTTTCCTTCTCTTTCAGAAATAAGTAGCATGGGAAGTAGCTGTTTATAGCAGGGGCTTATGTGTGGTGTGTTTGGTTTTGGAATGCCAAATTATGACAGACTTGTGGCATTTTCCAAGTTAAAACATATGGGTCACAGTTCTGAGGTGCGGCTTTTGAATCTCAGTTTTGGTAGTCCTGTATAGATTTTGAATGAGTTTTCATCAGTGTGCCAATCTACTAAAATAGGGCCTGATAGCTCCGATGTAAAAAAAATAAATAAAGAATAAAAAATTATTCAACATTTGGTAAATACAAAAAAAGGTATTTGTGGTTAACTGTTTGGAGAAGACGCATTTTTCTGAGAACGGAAAATAGGGAGCTAGGGACACAGCCCTTGTAAAAATTCTTTGAAAATGAGGACAGATTCAACGGTCAGACACAGCAGAGCAGATGCTGACATGGTGTGGGTAGTATCTTTAAAACCTACTGAAGTAATCCTGTAACCTCTCTGGCCAACACTGGACATGTGACATTTAAAGGATGTGATCCGGGCAACAATATGTGGGGCAAACCATGCCCACGTTTGTTAATATGTCACTATAAATGAACTGTTGTCAGTCTGTTGACGAGAATATATCTTTACACAGCTGCTCTTGCTTGTGCGTACAGTATGAAGCATTTGAGCATTTCACAGCAGCGTAGGACACTTTCCAGAGCTCGCTTTGCCAGTGATGGTCCCATGGAGCAATTTCATGTAAATATGAAGAATGGCGTATCACTAATGGTGTAGTGCAGGGGTGTCAAAGTCGTTTTTGTCGCGGGCCACATTGTCGTTCCGGTTTCCCTTGGAGGGCAGTTCTGAATTTTGGGAATAACTAGTTTTACAATCAGAAGTCAAGAATAGTGACTGTTGTTCTGGATTGCACGTGACAATTTTAAATTTTGATTCAGACTTTAGCAAGCATCATGGAACTTGACATGATTTATTTGCTTTCGCGGGCCACATAAAATGGTGTGGCGGGCCAGATCTGGCCCCCGGGCCTTGACTTTGACACCTGTGCTGTAGTGGTACAGTCGCTTGACTTGTGAGCGGGCAGCATGGGATCGGTTCCCACTCAGTGACGGTGTGGGTGTGGATGTGAACGGTTGTTTTTGCTCTATAAGGTCTCTGGGACTGACTGGCCAGTTCAGGGTGTAGTCTGCCTTCCGCCTGTAGGTACTGTCGATTCTCCAGCCCCCCCCCCCCACCCCACAACCTTCTTCAGGATCAGCGGTGTTGAAAATGGATGGATGGATAAATGAAGAACGGCACATGATAGAGGCCTGTTCAAACAAAATGATGAATTTAAGCCAAAATACTGAAGGGAAATGATCCCCGTAGAAGCATATCTAACTGTTATGAGTAAATCACAATCATCAGTGACATTTTTGTAGTATTTGCTTCCAAAAGAAAAAAACAACATGAATAGAAGACTTGGCATTTAAAGCTTCACTGCTGACCAAAGTGAAATAGGGAGGGAGAGCGACTGATTGGGGGAGGTTGGGAGGGAGGAACACATTCAAAATGTAAAACAGTCCACCAAAGAGCTCCCCATCCACCAGCTCTTCCATCACATTTGCCCGTGTTGTCCATACAGCTATTGAAATAAGTTCCATGATCATACTGTAAGTTGACAGCCGGAGAAAATAGCTTCCATCAATTTAGGTGCGCCCAGTTCTATAATATGGAGATAGGGAAGCTGCATGACTGTTTGCGGGATTGAAAACAAGACGAGCCAAGCAAACGGGAGCTAGGAGAAAAATGCCTGAAAAGAAGCTGGTTTGATTAAAACAGGAAAGAAAGAGGAAAGGAGAAGTAGAATATAGATAGGGAAGGGCAAAGGAGATGGAGAAAAGTGACAGATGACGGACAGACAGAAAGGATGGGAGCACGATGACCTGTGAAATGCTCCTTTTTTGGCAAGGACATTGCTCATAGAAACAGATTTTTCATCTTTAATCGTTAACAAAGCTTGCAGATGGCATAATAGGGTCCATGAAATCCATCATTCAGATGTGAATGGTTCACCGGCGGAGCAGCACAGAACAGTCTTTGAGGAGCGGTTTAAATTAAAAAAATAAAAATAAATAAATACTGTAACTACATTTTGCTTTCCGATAATCACTTTAAATGTTGTTGTTGTTTTTTTTCAGGGAAAAGAAAAAAATCTCAATAATATTTACTCGAATGTAAAGTGCATAATGCCGCTTAAGGAACACAATATTGCAATGGTGGTGCCATTCTGGGTACATGTTGATTTTTTAGTCGCATAATAATATGTACGGAGCAGCCCTTCACGTGAACAAGAGCACGTGCATGTAGTGTTTCTTCTTAAGCCAACGTTTGTCCAACCTCTTTAAACTGTAAATACTGCATGGCCATTATGGCCATTTGAGTGTGTGGCAAAGTTTGTGCAATATCTGCTGCAATGTCTTGGCTGGTGCACCAACACTACAAAGCATATAGGCGAGTCATGACTATGACAGAAGTGGTATCATGTCATTTATATGAGTCAGCAAAATTATTTTAAAGCTGTTATTTTAGGCCCAATTCATCGTTGCATTAATCTCTTGGATGTTTTATTGAGTTTGTGGTTTTGTTACAGAGTACATTTTGCTGTCACTGCTTTCCGCACCTGTGCTCAGCGAAACAGTTTATATTCACAGCAGCACTGCTATGGTCCAGCTGATCACGCAGGGTGCTGAGCGCACACAATACAGAGAGACTCATCCAGAGACGGAACTAATCATCACACATTTAAGGAATAAATGCCACAACGGCATTCATTCATTTAAACAAACAACACTCAAATGTCTTTTAGCTGTATTTTCATGTCTTCAAATTCAATTTTCAGGGTTAATTTGGCTAACTGTTTTCCCGAAACTCTTAAGTGCGATTAGAAATAGATTCAGCCTTGCAGTAATTAACTGGCATTTTGCCCCATGTACACCAAAACGAAGCTGCGATGAACAAAAATGTCCAGATGCACTGAAAAACACTTTAGATTTTTTTTGGTTGCAAATGATTAAAATATGTTAAACTCACACATATAATTTGTTTATCTTTGAGGAAAACACAGGAAAATTACATAGGTTTGCCACATTTAATCATCTGCGACCGATGTACCGGTACATGTTCGAATTGAGTAAATCCAAAGGATCTTTCTTCAGCGCAGACGTGACATAAACAACAAATACTCAACCCTTCACTATGCAAGGACGCAAACAACACAAAGGACACCTGTCACGTGCTGTATACTGTAAACGTTGAACATACACATCATGTGCCTGACGAGCCCAATATTCTATAATCATCTTTTGGTTACAGTATATTGCTCCTCTCGTGTTGCTCATTGTCAAATACACGTCATAATATGATACAGTGGGATGCCAACTCCACTAATAACAGTGAAATTATTAAAATAACTCTTTCAGTGTCAATCACAATCAAGCATTAGTATCTATGTGAAAAAAAAAACAGGTATTGGAATACATTATGTTGTGCAGGTGGCCAGTGAGTGTATACTTTTTGAAAATGCATATAAAATATCTCGGACAGACAGAATTAGTCACTCCACCAGGCCACCCAGAGGACGCTTTTGTTCACTTTAAGGGTGAACTGTCATATCCTGTCCTGCAGAAGCAGTCTGCTTCAGCCCAGTCCAACGTTTCATCTTCCCTTTCTCCCTGTGACACACTGCCAACTGTATTTCCTGGTGACAGCAATTAACACTCATTAGAATGCAATAGAGGAACACAGAGCTCCCCCTAGCGGTGGAAACCAATCATTAGATTTTGTTGTGATTTGTGAAATGAGAAAATGAGTGTTGTTGGACTATGCGATGTACAGTAGAAGACTTCATAAAAACAGCAGATAGGAAGTTTTTAGCAGGTTGATCACATTCTGGTCGAGAGCTGAGTATATTGGCGCATGTAAGTGCAAGTTTTTTTTTGGAAGCCTTCACAGCACTTCTGCCCATAAGGCCCGGTCGGCACACCTGGTCCACACACCTGTTTCACCCACTGCTGTCCACCTGTGCACTTACTCGCACCCGCATGCACAAAAGGTCCACTCATATTGGCATTTCCTGGCCTAAGCAGCTTTGTTTAAATGCAGTACTAGTGTGTGTGTGCACAGTCAAGAAGTAATATCAGGCGGCCTTCTGTAGTGTTCATCCCCTCCCCCAACTCAGCCCTTCCATGGCTGAACTCAACAGATTAAACTATGCAATATCACCAGTACCAATCCGCCACCACCCCTCCTCCCCACCACCCTCAATTCAATTTCTTTCCCACTGTCCTCCACTTTCTCACTCGCTGAAATCACCGGTCTTTCTCTTTCTCTCTCGCTCTCTCTCTCTTGCTCTCTCTTTTCCTTGCCCATTAATATATACAACTCTTGCAGTATGTGAGATGAGCTTCTGGTTTTAGTGCAGCATATGGGGGGGCATACAAAGACGACATACAATGTTTTGGGAGCGTGCATCTATATGTATGTTTGAGCAGATTTTCACCAGGCCACAGATTTAACATGACAGTGTTGTGTATAAGGATGTCTATTATGTCAGGTGTGTAGCTCACGCTTGCGGGTGTGATGATTTTATTGCTCAACGAAACCAAAAAAGGTCCTTTCCTTTATATGTGGCCAGTTGCGTGCGCCTCTTTTTCATGTCCACACGTGCATGAACAGTCACATTGCTGAGTGTAACTGTCTAGCCCTGTGAATGCATGCATATCTGGTCTTTGTGTGTGGGTGTATACAGCACACGGCTATAGCTGCAGCGTGTATTCGCGGCAGTGCATCAGGGTAAGGCAATCTGCCTCTGAGCAGCTCCTTCAGGTGAGATTTATTGCCACTGCATTTGGCCTCTGATAATGGCGATGGACTCCTTACCCCCGTATCTGGCCCTGTGTGCGCATGTGAGTGTACGGGTTGGTGATTTCTTAGTTTAACCCCCTCGCAGCCTCTGAAAACACGTCACCGACACTAGGAACTCCTCCCCTGTCTGCATCCCTGTTCAGGAGCTGCAGAGAGAAGCAGTGTTGGTGTTGACTCCACCCTTGAGAACTCTTGATTGCAAGGTGCACTGGACCCACACCAACATTGGGACTCATGAAATGACTGGATGGGATTCTCTTCTTCTGCAACCACGCCACTTCAGCTCGGACGATCAATTTGAACTACAAATTCCTGGAGCTGACTGACTGTCAGTTAGGTAGCACTGGAGAAATAGGTCATAGAGCTAAAAATACTTATCTATGTCTCTCTCTTTCTCTCTAGCCCTCTTTCACAACCTTTCTCAATCCTGTCTTCCAAAAAAAAAAAAAAAAAGTGAAGCAGAAATAAAATCCAAATAAAGAGGAGATGAAAGGAATAACTTGAGAAAAGAAATACCCTTAAAAAACATCAGACCTTAGGCTTGCTTGCTCCCTTATGAATAAAGAAGTAGGAGCGGGAGGGAGTGTGTGTGTGTGTGTGTGTGTGTGTGTGTGTGTGTGTGTGTGTGTGTGTGTGCGCGCACGCACACGCGTGCGTATACAGATGAGCATGTTAAGGAATGACGGGGGAGATTGAAAGGGAAAATGAAGACGTAGGAATGGATGCTCATGCTGTGGTCCAGCCATCACACAGGCCTGTTTGCAGACCGAGGTTTATTACATGGAACTCATTATTCACTCAGCTCAGCCAAGCAGGCATGGTAAAAAAATAAATAAATCATCGAGCCTCCCCAGAACTGCTGGCGATACCACAGAACGCTCACCCATGAGGCCACACAAGGGATTAAAGGTGCAAGATCTTTCATTCAAATTTATGAAAAAAATTGGTGAATAAGACCACCAGTATTTTGGCTTGGGCAGTAAAAAGAATTCTCAAATGATTTCATTTGAACGAAAAGAGGAAAAGTCCGAGTTGAGAATTCCAACAGAAGTCCACCATAGAGAAACTAGGCTCAAAAGGAGAGCCTCGAATATTTGTGTGGAAAAACATGACTAAAAATTCCTTCAGTACTAGACTGAACATGAAAAAGAAGTTTGATGGGGTTTGGAGGGTGAAAAAACAATGTGACAAAAGGAGAGCAACACTCAGGAAATTTGGATTTGTCATTATAAAAAAAAAAAAATGGGATGAGAAGGAGTGATGGATGGAGAAAATGATGAAGGAGGAGGGCGTTAATGTGGAAGCGGGTCAGCAGGGGTGATGGCATGAGAGAGAGAGAGAGAGAGAGAGAGAGAGAGAGAGAGAGAGAGAGAGAGAGAGAGAGAGAGATTATCTCTAATCCAAGAGAGAGAAAGTGAAGGGAATTTTTGGAAAGTCCCCAGTCGATTGGAAGAGTCGCTGTTCCTCTGTTGATTTGTCTTCACACACAAATGTAGCCTACATTATACTTGAACACCCACACACCCACACACACACACACACACACATGTGACACAGTGCACACCAACTGGCGATGTTTTCCAAATGGTTTTACACCAACTGAATTAATTAGCAAATTTGAGGGCATTTCGGGACAAATCCAAGCCTGCTACAGAACAGACCTAGAAACCAAGAAAGGTGTCAAATAGATAGAGATCAGTCTTTTACCCAAGTAGACTAACTTTCTGATTGAACTTTTCCTTGTTTTATTCTATCCAGCCTTGCCCTCGCATCATGATCATCAGCAGCATCATGTCATATTCCATGTCTATCAGACCATTAAATCCACTTGACATCATTGTCACCAAGTGACCATATCAGAGAGGAGGGTGAAAGAAATCCTCGCTTTTCTAAAACATCTCTAGTTAGATAGGTTTGGTTATTATTTTGGGGAGAACACGCACAGATTTTGAGGAAAACAATGACAGGCTATCGGCGGACTACACTACAGGCTTCCTGCTGCATGTCAAGTGCTCTTTAAAAGCAGCCCATACAGGAGAGTCATTCATGGATGCCTGAATCACGCAGACATATCCCATGCCAAATGGCACAACCTTTGCAAACGTGGAGAGCAAATCAACTTTAGTTAGAGTTAAAAGGGGAATACCGGAGCCATTGTGTGCTCGACTGTTACCTCTCTGAAAGCAAAGCAACCCCTCGACATATTGATGCTCATCCGCCACCTTTTTGGCCGGATGCCTAAGCGGGTAGCAGGCGTCTGCATTCCGCTGCAGCCAGTCACAGCAGAACAAAAAAACACGGCATTGTCCCAAAAAAAAAAAAAAAAAATGCAGCCTCAAAGGAACTTTAATCTCCTGGAGCACGCCATGGTGGAATTAAACGCGCGCCAAATTGCAATATAAAAGCAGGACGTGGAGTTGCAATTAGGCTCCGATTGCTGACTTAATTACAATAAAATGAAACACCCCGGCCAATATTCTGCCAGTGCCCAAATACCGGGCACTCAAGGTAACGTAGCAGCCTGAAGCCGTGGTGCTGTAAAGCTTCAGGCTTCCTACCTGTTTCCTCTCTCCGTCCACACAGGTAGTGTCAAGCTATCTAAACTGTCTGCCTTTCTCCAGCCTGCCTCTGACCGTGATCTTGGCTGGCCACACAGGGAAGGGACATACCGGGTCACTCACATCCAGCCCCGGCATTCCTGCATGCTCTTGCACTCATGCACGCAGCTCCTGGCTCGGGGAAAATGATCACACCGCTTACACCGAAACGCACAAACCAACCCGTGGCGCAGACACAACGCGGAGAGGCAACTTTTCTGCATTTTTATTGTCTTTTGTCGATTTGCGCTGCGTGCGCGGCATGCACGGAGGTGTCGGCGGTGGTTCTGAGGGAGCAATGGTAAATTCAATCACACTGACAACGTTGAATAACGGGATCAATGCGAATGCGCTGTACTTACGATTTGAGGTGGTTCTGTACCGCTGTGGCCATTTTGGTGTAGTATGATAGAATGCAACGCTGCGGCGCCCGGTATTGTACATGTAATGTAGCAGCTATTTCAATTTCATTCATTCTCTGGGGCTGCGGCTGGAACCGGCAGCCAATAGGAGACCGGAGCGCATGAGACAGCAGAGGGGAAGTGTAGTTTTTTACGCATGTCAACATAAAACATGTCCAGGAGCGATGCACTACAAGTACCAGAGTAGGTAGCGAGTCCGGGGATGCCACGGTCCCGCCTTGGATCTGAAAGGGCAAAACCACCTATCCGGAGCCGAATTATTGACCACATGCAGTTAATACCGAGGTGGCTGACATGACTGTGTCACTCTTGTACATTGATGCCTTTCTGTGGATCCTTACATTTACAAAGTTGCGATAAAAGTTCATGATAATTGATAGATTATCGATCAATTTAAATAAATACATAAATAAATAGATAGATAAAGGCTATCGGTGTGCATGTATTACATGTTTCTGCCAAAATGAAGCTGCATTGTGTCCACATGACATTATTCTGATGGTTCTGCAACGACCAGCTTTAATTATTCATTAATCAGGAGCAATGAGGGGAAGGCTATAATTGATTATTTTTGATGTTCATGATAGGCTGGGACTTCCTCTTGCTCGCCGGACCCAATTTCATGTTCCAATTTTTTCTCACCTCAGGGTTGAATTTCTCAAAACTACATGTTCAACTTTCACACCATTGTGTCACTTGTGGGCGACACGGTGGACAACTGGTTAGAACGTCCGCCTGACAGTGCAGAAGTGCAGAGTTGGATTCCAGCCCCGTCCTTGAAGTGTGGAGTTTGCATGTTCTCCCCATGCCTGTGTGAGTTCTCTCTGGGTACTCTGGGTTCCTCTCACATTCCAAAAACATGCACCGTAGGTTAATTGTTTACTCTAAATTGTCCCTATAAGTGTGATTGTGAGTGGAGATGGGTGTTCATCTAAGTGTGCCCTGCGATTGCCTGTCAACCACTTCAGGATGATCTCCCACCTCCTGCCCGAAAACAGCTGGGATAGACTTAAGCATTCATGTTTTTGGAATGTGGGAGTAAACCGGAGTACACAGAGAAAACCCACGCAAGCCCGGGGAGAACATACAAACTCCACACAGGAAGGCCGGAGCCGGGATCGAACCCTCGACCTCTGCACTGTGAAGTCGACGCGCACTGGACCACCGGGCCGCCCACTGCACAAACGTCTAATTTTATAAAGCATCGTTGTAACGCTGCCTTTCAGCCACTCGGTGGCGCACACGGACCAGCGAGTGACACAACGTCATTCGCTGCGTCCACATTGGCCCCTCCTCTTTCAGCTCAGCGTACACGCGCTGTTGTTTTGATTGACACCAATAGTCGGGGCTTCAACTTTTGTTTTCCTCTCGAACGTCCTGAAAATACATGAACTCAATGAGCAACGATGTCTGAAGCGCTCATGACATCGACGGATGAAATATCACTGTGTCCAATGCGATCAGAGGAGCGTCCCGACGTTGTACGGAGCTTCCTGTTGGTGGATGACCAGGAAAACCTGCAGGTGAAGTTAGCTAACTATCGCTAACAATTAGCTGCTCGGCTAAGAAACGAAACCCAAAACAACTGCTGGCGCGTTTGTTAATTCCATTCCTTTTAAGATTATTGCAGCTCTCATGTTACCGTTTGTGATAGTCACTTTGTCAAGCTTAAATCAATGTAGACTATGTTGTGATTATGACGGTTCGTGGAAAGTCCCTATTATAACGACTTTGTTTGACAGAATAGAAACACGTGAGTCATCGAGCCAGCCCTTCTGACCCCCGTTTAGGCATCATTCTATTTAGGACAACGATTACACGAATCAAAATGATAGATTAAAGTTACAAAAGGGTTTAAATCTGGAAATTGATTTGGCCAATCTAAATATTTTCCTTTCTTGCCATAAATGAACTCTTGTTGTTTTTTTATCAGCGTGTTTGGAGCAATTTCAACATTTTTCTTGAAGTTAGCAGACAGGCTGTCTGTCCATGTGACTGTCATCTTGCATCTCTTTTTTCAATGAAGGTTAATGAGGAGCAAAAATGTTCTTTTATCTTCCATTGACTGTTGTCATGTTTGTTACAATGCTAATTACACGTTTTTCTATGCAGGTTATGCCCGAATCCTAAACTGAATATAGAAAATAATGGGTATTTATTAGCTAGAGGACACGTCCTTTCGCTATTCATTTGTGTGTAACTTTGTATATACTCTGTTCTTTTACGTATGTACTGTATGGTATTGGTATGTATGTATTGGTATGAAATGACTTGTGCTCTGCCTTCCTGGCCAGACCACCCTTGGAAAAGAGACATCGGTTTCAATGGGTTTTATTTTCTGGTTAATCAATAATTGACTGATGGAAGATGTGTGTCAAATATAGACGTAAATACGTAACTGGAAATAAAAGCTAAAGTGTTAGTCCTTGTTCCATATTGGTCATTACATGTTAAACCCAAAGTGGTTAAATTGACTACAAAAATAAGCGAGTGGGCTTCACAGTTCCAAACTCTCAGAAGAGAGTGTATATGATAGTACTGTTGAAATATAATTGCATGGAAACATTGAAACCTGTTTTCCCTCCAGGTCCACAATGAATCGGATTTTGTTGAGAGGCTCAACTGTGCCGCTGCGCGAGGTGTCAAAGTTCTCTCCATCTTTGGAAACACCGGGGACGGCAAGTCACACACCTTAAACCACGTCCTGTTCAATGGCGAGAGTGTGTTTTTTACCTCCAAGTCCTCCAGCTCCTGTACGGTGGGTGTTTGGGCCGCTTATGAGCACTCCCTCAGCCTGGTTGCCCTGGATACCGAGGGCTTGTTGGGAGCAGCTGTCAATCAAAACCAGAGAATGAGGCTTCTGCTCAAGGTAATCGTAAACAATTGATTGCTTTATGACTTTTCCCCCAAAATGTTATTTTTGTAAGTCAAATTCAGTTGACTTGTAACCAGGATTTAATGCTGATTCAAACAAGACTTCTCACAACCTATTATGACCATTTGAACAATCGAATGAGATCAAATTCAAGAGGTCCGTCAAAGATTTTGGCTTTGCAAAAATAATGATGGTCAGTTTAGTTATTCAATTTACCTCCACAAAGAGTGAAAATATTAGACTTGGCTCACAGTATAATTGCACATAATAAGGCATTGGCAAACCCTCAAAATGTCTGTCTTTTGTCAACAGTGTTTTCGGTTATTTAAATGAATCATCAGTTTTTGTTGTAATTCCTTGTGTTGTCCTTTGCCTTACATTGTAATTGATTAGTAGCGAAGTTCTTTATCTCCACTCTTCCAGGTCCTGGCAGTGTCAGATATAGTCATCTATCGAACGCGAGCCGAGCGTCTACACAATGACATGTTCCAGTTTCTGAGCAATGCGTCAGGGGCCTATCTGAAACACTTCACCCCCGAGCTTAGGGCCCTGTCAAGCCGCTGCGGTCTGGACGTGCCCCTGACATGTCTTGGACCTGCTGTCATTGTCTTTCAAGAGACGACACACACACAGCTGCTGGGCCATGGTAAATGTAACTCAACTCATTATGTATGTAATGCTGCTTTTCCATTAGCCCCAAACAGCCACACAGTGCACCACTCCGCTTGGCCCGGCACAATACCCCATTACAACAGCGAGAGGCGGAATGGGGGTGGGATCAACCGAATTGTGCAAGCATGCACACATGCAGCATGTGGGCTTGTGCCGCAACGTCACTGTTTTTGCACCAATTCAAAATATGAATTACAGTTGCATAATGTGGCAGTGTCACAAAGTACATCCCATCCAATGCGAAGAAGCTTTCACATTTAGACAAAAATCTATTTCTGGTTTCAAGAGATAAATACAGTGTTTGTTCTCATGTGTGATTAAGATTCAAAGGTGCCTGGCCATGCCGACATGCAACTCCAGAGGAGGTTTCATGACCTGGGCTTGGGGACTGATGCCTTCAGTTCGGTACAGTACATCGGCACCCAAACCATCACGCCTCCCACCGACTACAGTGAACTACTGGATGCTCTCAGACAGCAAGTGCAAAACACTCACACGCGTTCGCCCCGCCACCCCGGAATCGTGTTTCGCGCATTCGAAGTAAGCAGTGCATATTGGTGTAATAATACACATTCATTAGACACAAACAGTCCTGGTGGTTTGCCTGTAATAGCAACAATGTTTTGTTATTCTGTGCGTGCGTGCGTGTGTGTGTGTGTTTACTCAGGCCCTCAGTGAACGGTTCTGTGGTGACCTACCAGATGACAAGCTGAATCTGTACACCTTCTTCCCAGACGAGTACTTCACCTGCTCTGCTGTTTGCCTGAGTTGCAAGTAAGGCAGTTATGAAACCATTTCAACACTCTCCCTCTCGTACAGGAGTTAAACCGAGTCATGAAGGCATACAGTAGATAGAACAACTCCACACACGCCGTTTAAGTGCCAGGCTTTTAAGAGAATCAAGAGGACAAGAAAAATCATTTCAAAAGGTTTCCCTATTAAAGTTGACCTGTACAACTCAATCTGGAAAGAGGAGCAATAAAAATAAACAACTGAGATAATGTAGTTGCCACACTATCCACACCCTCCTTTGACCGGGGATGTCGACATGTTCAGCATTAGAGGTAGCCCAGGCTAGTGCAGCGCTCCTTCAGGTCACTACCACCTACCCTCAGACGCTTGCCCAAATGGACCGATACTAATATCTAAGACAGTGGTCACTGGTCACCAAGCTGGGCGTAATTTTTTTTTTTTTTTTTGGCGCCACAGACCGGTTCAAACAAGCGGATGCTTTCAGCAGACCGGCAGTCGTTCGAAGGTGGCTGTTATGTGCATGGACAAAAGATGATAAGATTGATTGTTGCTTTGGTGTGGGGCCTGCATATCGAGTTAGTAGCAGCTAAACTGTTTTTTTTTTGGGGGGGGTGGCAAGAATGGTATTAGACCAAATTCGTTTCGTGGTGTCTGTCACCATCGTAAAAAGTTTGTATTTACTTGCAAATTTTCCAAATAGCATATGTGTTTCGTGGTGTCTCTTACCATCGTAAAAAGTTTATATTTACTTGCAAATTTTCCAAATAGCATATTAACATTTTTGAATAGATGGCCTAAAGGTGTATAGGCAAGTTGGCCATTGTTAAATATTACTCCAACCCCAAAGCCCAAATTCATGAGCGACGGCTGCGCCATATCTTATGTCTTAGGTCTTACCTCCTTATTAGAATCTTAATAATCTTTAATCAATCAGTGACAATGTTTGAACAAATATAATGTTATTCAAGTGGTCCTTGCACTAGCTTATGGAAGAAAAGTTTTCTTGCAAAACTTAGAAGTGTTGGTCTGAGCCATGTGATGTTTTTTTGTGTGGGCTCCAGTATTCGCTGCAAAAATGGAATGAACCATTTGCGAGATAGGGTCCCTCACATGGCAGATGGACTCTGCCAGTATGCACACCAGTACAACAACAAAGTCCTTATCTGCAAGGTATGATAAACCCTTGACATCAGTATGATCCGCCGATGAACTGAACAGAACATTGCGTGCATTATCTGAAATGCTACGGATTTGAATCCGTTTCATGTCACCCACCAGAGGTGCTATGAAGGTGGCAGAGAGGTGACCGTCGCGCCTAAAACCTCGGCGTCCTCTGACAACCCCTGGCTGGGTCTTGCCAAGTTTGCCTGGTCGGGGTAGGTTCCTCTTTACATTTTCCTCCCTCCGCTCCTTTTGTGTTGATTGTCCACTTCCTTTTCAGCTATGTATTGGAGTGTTCCAGCTGTGGCGTCATCTACCGCAGCAGACAGCACTGGCTAGGGAACCAGGACCCAGAGAGCAGCGTGGTGCGTTCTGAAGTCAAACACGTTTGGGAGGGGGTAAGTAATCCATTGTTTCTGCATGTAATGCAAGATGAGATTTGAAAATGCTTTAAAGCCTTTTACAATTTGATTTCTGTAAAATACTGTGTGTTTGTCTCCAGTCGGACAATTTCCTCACCAACCACCAGAATGCAGCACAAAGGGTCCTGGATGGGATGAACTATATGATTCAGTCTGTGTCCGAATACAGCAGCGGCCCCACCAAAGCTGTCACTGCTTGGCTCACTGATCAAGTGGCGCCGCCCTACTGGAGACCTAACACGGAGATCAGAGTAAGTAACGCACAAACTCAAGACATAGAATAAAGGAGAAGTATTGAATTTTATGATGTGATTTATGGTTGGAGCTCCCAAATATTTTGGTATTAGGATATCCTCCTGAAAATTCCTACCGGCTTAAAAATAAAAATCGATTAATCGAATCGAATAGATATTCCTTTTCGCAGCCTAATATCAATTCTCAAAACCATAAATCTGTCCTTTTAATACATCTTTTGCTCATAATATCATGTGACCTGCCGCGCCCCGAGAGACCTTGTCACTCCGCGAGAGTATCGTATCAAAACAACATGGCGGAAACAAGCTTGAAGTCTTAACTGTTGTATTGTTCTCCCCGCTGTGCTCGTCAGGCTTGTCATGGCTGTCAAAGACCATTTGAGGAAGCGGAGCGGAAGCACCACTGTCGTTCCTGTGGCGAGGGCTTCTGCCACCTGTGTTCTAGCCACAGGATGCCAGTGCCAGAGAGGGGCTGGGGTAGCAGCCCCGTCAGGGTGTGTATGGCCTGCTATCGTCAGGGAGGACCACCTGAAGCCAACAGTCAGGGTAAGACATCGACATCCCATTGGTGACCTTTTAATTTTTTTAAGTTCAATCAAAGTTACATGAAAGGCAGTGATTGAGCCTTTGAAACACGCATACACATTTTATTCTTCTTGTATTGTTGTCCCGTCATTAATATTACTTAGTTTCTTTTTTTGCGGGGGGAGGGAGTTGACAGTGTAGACCAGGGGTTGGCAGCCTTTTACACTCAAAGGCTTCCAAAAGAAGCGGTACGCTCACAAGGTGCATTTTCCTTTTCCTCTTTTTCTCTTAGTGTGTAAAGAGGAGCCTCGCGGCCTGATCGCTCGCAGGGTGGCGGAGGTGGCTCAGTCCACCTTAGACATCGTCAGCACTGCTGTGGACTACCCGCTCTGTGAGTTTCTTCAAGTCAAGTCATAATCACATTTGAAAGGCGTATGTATTTTGTTCACAATTTAAAACAGTTACCAGGTGTCTGACATGTTTTTATTAAAAATCCGATCGAGGATTATATCGCACTCTGTTTGTCTTGATGCTGTTAGTTTGTTTGAGAGTGAAAGTAAAGTAGCACTTATGGAATGACGAGTACAGGTTTTCTTCCCATGATGACTAGGGGCAGTCCTAGGGATGGCTGCATTAGAAGCACTAAATCTTTCAAAAATAATAATAAATGTCTGTAATGCTGTGTAAATTGTAAATAAAAAAAAAGTTGGGAAGAAAATGTAAAATGAAAATGAATACAATGTTTTGCAAATTCAACCTATAAAGAAAAGCTATTTCATGTTCAAACTGTTCAACTTGAAAATGTTTTTTATGAAATGATTCACTCATTTTGAATTTGATGCCTGCAACATGTTCCAAAAAAGCTAGGACAGTAAACAAAAGACGGCAAACAACTGCGAAAGTTGAGGGATGGTAAAAGAATTACAAACTACCGGTAATTACAAACAGGCAAGTGTCATGATTGGGATAAAGCGCGCATCCCCGAAAGAGGTTCACCACTTTATGAACCCCCGATGTGGATGTTTTTTTCCCTCATGGAGGCAACACCAAGCCACCGAATTTCACTTGTCAATTACTGTACAGACCGGTGTCTATGGCACAGCTGAATGGTTCGTTCACGGACACATTTTCAGAACTAGAATGACAAAACAATCTTGATGGCTGTGAAGGGACCCTTACACAAGCTATTAAAAAGTCAATTTTCCATAATGTCCCCTTGAACAATTCTGACTCCTCTATTATTTTTTTTGTTTTAATTATTGTAGGCTTTGTGAAGGATGTGGCTCGACCAGACTACTGGATCCCCGACCAGGACATCACTCAATGCCACCAGTGCTCCAAAGTCTTCACCCCAGTCATGCCCAAGCACCACTGCAGAGCCTGTGGTCAAGGGGTGTGCGGCCCCTGCTCCGCACACATGAAGCCCGTACCGTCAAGAGGGTGGGACCACCCTGTAAGAGTGTGTGACAACTGCAACTCCAGCACCGATAGTCTCTAAAGTATGGCTCCAAGTCTCCAATCAAACTAGACGACAACCCGTGGCTCCAAAGAGGCTTGTTATCAGGGGCTGGCCGAAGACCTGTTTTTTTTTTTTTCCTCTCTTCTGCCTTCGCCAGTTGATTCCGCCTCACGTAGAGGCAAAACTGATCAGAGATCAGCGGTCGGGTTGACTGCACGTTTCAGCTCCTTTAAGTTGTCTCTCCTAAAATATCATGATGGCTTGCAGTCTCACGCCAAGGGACCTGTAGGAAAAAAAAAGCAGAGAACAAAAGAACCAGTGTGAGATTTTCAACGACTGCAATAGTGCCTTTTTTCCAAACATGGCAGTAACTTTATATGTCCTCACATTGTATCTTGCAAGGTTCCAAATCCTTGGAGGGGATTTTATTGTTTATTCGTTAGACATCTGTCTGATGTGAAGACCCTTGAAGGTTAAGTTGTTGGATGGAGGAAAACGGTTTCAGTCGCCGTTGAAGAAATATGTGACTGCGTTGTGTCCATGACATGTCTCCTTCTAATAAATGCTTGAGCTCGCCCTGTACGCCTGAGAAAGCGAGGCTGTCACAGGGATGTCAAACTCATTTTCATCCCGAGCCACATCGTAGTTATGGTTTCCTTCGGAGACCCGTTGTAAGTCTGAATGTGATCTTAAATGTATGATCGTCTCATTTTACATAAACACTTCAAATTCATGAATAGTTTTGAGATTTTATTATATTCGGGACTGGTTACAAAAACCCCACGCAGGCACGGGGAGAACATGCAAACTCCACTCTGGAAGACCGCAGCCGGAATTAAAACCTGCATCTCTGCACCGTGCCGGACGCACGCACACATATTGTCTCATTCTCATAACTGACCATAAGAGTTATTATTAATATCATTTATCTTCAGAGAAGCAATTTCCGGTTGGGCGCTCTACTTGAACATCTCGTAGCTGCTTAGTGTACCGTATCAGTAAGGCCAAGCGCATTTTTCGGCAGCGGCATTATTATTGCTTGTTGGGTCATGGGCATACTGCATAATATGTCCACACGGGGGCGCTACAAGAATAGAAACATCGGACCCTTGTGAGTTGAACTGTCAACTGTCTTGAATAAATCTCAACAGGGAGTTTCTTTGAAGATGACGTCCTATTTGCACACACCGTCTCACTTGCATCTACTACGTCAACATGACATCCAATGCAACCGGCTGTCGGCGTAACGGTGAGAAATTTGCTAGACAAACCGCGAGAACATGCAATTAATCACTGTAATGACTTTCTGCTCAAGCATTGGGAGGGCATTGACACTGGGAACAATTAATGTGTATAATTAAGTCTGTTTGAAACGAAGATCGTAGGCCTTTACATATTCAACTGGTCTGGTTAACATTTAGTAGAAGCTATTTTAAAAAGAAAACACAGCAGAAGTGTTTATGTAATGTAGAGAGAGAGAGAGAGAGAGAGAAAAAAATCGAAACCAAGACACTTTGCTGCAAGTCGACAATGCTAACCACCTTTTTTTTGTTTGTTTGTTTTTCTCACATGACTGCATGTGTTCGTCTAGTGCTAACTGCCGTTTACCCTCGCGAGCCCCCATTGTCTTTTCAGCTGCTTTCATTGCTTCAGGCACTGTAATTGCTATGTATGGAAGTAGATTTTGCAGACAACAACACTTTTCAGATGTTATTAATGATTTTTTTTTTTTTTTTTTTTGCTGTGAAGCCATAGCAACTGAGGCTCTCCTGCCTCCGATGTAGTTTATAGAATGTCTACCTTCAAACCACAGCATTATACTGTATTGCCTGAATGCACGCTCACTTCGTCATCTCGTCATTCAGGGGACGTGAAAACACACGCACGCACACACACACACACACACACACACACACACACACACACACACACACACACACACACACACACACACACACACTCAGTCTCTCTCTCAGCCTGTTTTTTTTTTTTTTTTTAATACGACGGGGAGTCGGCTATCTGCAGGCTCGCATCGATTATCCTCGGATTAACCCTGCTTCCATGAGAAATAAAACACCTCTCTCTCTCATTTCTTCTATCTACTACTGTATCTGAACTGCTAATCCTCACTAGAGTCGCGGGCCTGCTGAAGGCTATCCCAGCCGTCTTCAGGCAGGGTAGTGGGTACACCCTGAAATGGTTGGCAGCCAATCGCAGGACACACCGAGAGAATGAATGACCTTTTGCACTCACAATCACACAAAGGGACAATTTGGAGTGTCCAATTAACTTACTATGCATGTTTTTGGAATGGTTGAGGAGTACCTGGAGAAACCCATGCAGGCACGGAACCAACATGCAAACTCTACTACCCAGGAGGCCACAGCCTGGATTCGAATACCCAATGCGTGCATTCACTGGACTGAAAATATAAAGAGCTGCACTTTTTATTCATCCTTTTGACTCATCTGCAACACAATCATCTTCACTGACTCAGTCCTTCGATCAGCGGACAATAGCTGGATGAGTCTTACTGCTGCCACAGCTTGAGTTCAATGTGTCTTGAGTTTTACGTTTGCTGCCTTTCTCACGACCCCGAGGGAGAAAGGCGGCCTTGTCCTGTTCCCATCTGCAGCGTCACAATTGCTTCACCCCGTTTGACTCACAGTCAGACAGCACTGGTTACCTCCCGTGTGGTGTCTTATTATCATTTATTGCCCATTACAGTATATGTTTTTCAAAGTATATTGATATCTACAGATGTGTCATTCATATATTTTACTTTAGAGAATTCGCAATGTAATAAATGTAGATACAGATACAATAGAACCAAGAGGAATATGTACCTTTTTTTTTCCTTGTATATGATTGAGTTTATGCATCTATGCAAGAAACAGTAAACGGTTATGCCACAACATTCATGAGTAAAAGTGTAGCGTGGTGGTGCGGCGTACAAAATAAAAACAAAAAACCCCCACCAAGTTATGAAAATGCACAGGCATTGTGTTATATTACTTTATTCATCTTTTGTACAATGTAATTACAATACAAATATGTAGGTTTAAATACAAAAAAAAAATCTGAAAATAAAGATTAAAAATAAACTCCTGTTTTCTGTTACGTCACTAAACTAGTTTGACAATCAAGTTCATGAGGTCGTTGAGTTTGCTTTGTTGCAATTACCCTACATATAATTTTGAGGTTGTGTAAACAAGTGCAGTGAAAGAATATATTTTCAGCGAACGATAAAATAGGATCTTGTTTCGTATATTTGGATTTGTTGGGTGGGGGAATAATAAGATTTGTCAGAAAACAAAGCACCTGATAATTGGGAACTTTCTCATTCTGAAAAGATTTCTTTTGACGAGGCAGCCTATCAAATAGCATCACTGCCTCATTGAAAAAATGCTTTATAAATTAATCTTACCAAAACAAGCACGGAACATCGCCAGTGACTCTTCATACAATTGAATTCCCACTGATTTAGCGCACCTAAAAAAAAGTCCTCCATGAAAAATAGATCTTCACGGTGCCAAACTTTTTCCAAGACTTGATGACCTAAACTGGCGTTTTGAGTTTCTACATAAAAGGAGTCTCGCGTATTTGGTTAAGCTTACTGATCAAACTGTAAATATGGAATGAGCTAGTTGTAAAAATAAACACCGAAAACGATTCTTTGCAATGCAGGTTTGAGCAGAGTTGAGGAGCAAGATTTGCAGACGGAGGCGGCAAGACGCTCCGTTTTGCGGGCAAGGCGACAAAAGTGTCTTTTGTCCTCAAGATTTTCACACACTCTTGTCCTCTCTTATCTCGTCGTCATCTCATATTCGTTCCTTTATCCTTCTCCATGTCATGCTTTTAATTCAACCGTGTTGCTCTGTTCTCTCAGCTTGTCGCTAAGCCTTCCTCTGGGCTCCTCCTCTCTTCTTTTTACCGCTATCCGTTTTGACACATTCCTGTCCTCATCGGCCCCGCCGATTTTCTTTTTCGAAGCAGCGCAACGGACTGATGTGGTGAACACAATCGATGCAGGATTTGATTCCTGTCCACCCTGTAATTGAAGACAGTCAATATGGGAAGGTAGTGCATCATATTCGTCATCCTTGAGTATTTCGGAAAAGGTGGATGGCGACTGTGAAGTGTCTGTGTTGGATATTCTGCAGTGCCTTGGAACATTTGAGCTCCAGAAATGTCCCAACAGCGATAAAGTGAAGTTCTATTGATTTGTCTGGAAAAAAAGCAAAAGCATCGAGCCACTATCTACACTTGCGAGGTGACACGTGATACGTTTCATCCATGGGTATTTGATTCCTATAACATGCCCGGACTCACATATTTTTGCCCAATTAAATAGATGACCGACCTACGTGGTCCTGTTTGTTTCACGAGTCTTTCTTAAGAGTTCAACAAAAATAAATATATGGGATAAAAAATATTTGAAGGAAACACTTCAACAATTTGAGGAAGTCAATCTAACTTGTCAACATAAAAAATAAAAAAAGTATAATAAATACAATCATTTTGGCAATACATCATTACTACTGAACAGTGAGTCCTCTTAGGTAGTGGCTATAAAAAGTCTACACACCCCTGTTCAAATGCCAGGTTTTTGTGATGTAAAAATGAGACCAAGATAAAGAATTTTTTTTCCACCATTAATGTGATCTCTAACCTGAACTACTCCATAGAAAAAAAATCCGTCAGAGGGGAATAATGAACAACTAAGACAATGTGGTTGGAGAAGTGTGCGCACGCCCCTATAACTGGGCACGTGTTTTGTTTCAACCACATTATCTCACTCATTTTTTTTTTTACTTCCCCTCTTGAAAAGTTTTTTTGTTTAATTGGGTTGTCTCGAGAGGTCATGGGTCATATCAATGGTTGAAAAAGTTTTGTAGGGCTGTGTAGACATTTTATATCCACTGTACGTCCAATCACTTCTCACAACTCCACCATTAAGAAGAACATTCGTCAAACCAAGAATTATTTCCATTCCTCACAAGGAATTCCTCCCCACAACAAATACTGCCAAAATCAGTCAATGGGATTGGAATGCATCTGTGTCACCTTTGAAAGAAAGCAACCACTGAGCGCGTCGCTGAGTGACAAGGTCAGTGTGTCAAGGGACTTGCAGCCGGGAAAGAAAGTAAAACCGGAGTGCAGACATGAAAGCGGGAAAGAGGCGGACAGGAGGTGATGTGGCAGGATTTAGATCATCACATCAAGATGTGGATAGCTCCCAGTGGCAGCCCCAGCACAATCTGCACAGCTCTCACTGGAGCCTCAAGAAAGTAACATCATTATGGTGTAGATATTCCATTAGAGAGCTTTTATGGGATGCTAGGCTGCCGCAATGTTTCAGGACCTGCATATACCATTCAAATCAGGGATGCTTGAATTACCACCGAGCGTTCTTCTTTTTGTGAGTGCAGGGCTTGCAGCGCGCCGCCACTTTGCTCCTCATCTTAGAGCTCGATCTCAAAAGTCTTCTGCAGGTTGTTCGAAAATGGGTTGGCTGCCGCTGCTGGACTTTTGCTTCCGGGTGCCTGAGCCGCTGGTTTGGTGTTGGTGCTCTCAAGGGCCGCCCACTTGGCCTCAAAACGCTCGTCGTCTTGGGAATTACTGGTCACGGGAGCAGTCAGCTGGCTGCCTTCTGGCGGCCAGCTACTAGTGCCGCCGCTGTTAGAGTTGCCATTGTGAAGGGCTGCCGAGGCGCCGCTGTGCATCGGGAGCCCGTTCATGGCTGTTGAAAGAGGAGGGGTGGCGGGGAATGGTGTGGAAAACCCCCCAGAGGGCACTCCTGAGTAAGGGTGGTGAGTGACGCCTTTAGACCCTCCGACTCCGGCGCCAATGGCACCTCCAGTGCCAGATGAGCCAGTGGCCGTGCAGAAGACATTGGCCACCATTTGCGACGGCGTGATTCCCACGACGGGTACGCTGACATTTGGGTAGGTCATACTGCTCGCCAAGCCTGGCATGTAGGTTTGCATGGGAACAAAAGCCGGTTGCACGGGCTGGCTGGCGAACATCCCAACAGGAGCTGAAGGAGCGTCGAAGGCCAAAGGAAAGGGCTGCAAAATGCTTGGGAGGGAGCCTCGGGGCCCCGGGAGTGAGGGCTGGATCATCGGGGCTCCTGACATACTTGGACCAGACATGGTGGGAATGGACATTGAAGGCAAAGACATTGGGGGGCTTGAAATTGGAGGGCCAGGTATGAGGGGAACCGACGATATGGACATCGGTGGAAGGGGCATCGGTGCCTGAGCTGAGATAGCAGAGGGGCCTGCGATGAGCGGTTTAGACATGGTACCCAGCGACATGGAAAGAGTGGACACCGGGGCCAGACTTGTGATCTGCTGACTCGATACAGACGGTGGCCCAGGAATGGTGGGGATGATGGTGGGAGCCGGCGGGGGTGTCTGTTGGGACATGACTGCCTTCGAGACTTCTTCCAGCCATCTTTCCGCCTCGGAAGGTGTACGTTTATGCCCACTCTGCATCACCGCGGACACTGGAGGAGGAGGAGAGGGGCGAGGAGGATCTGGTTGAACCCAAGAAGACGTCGCTAAAGGGATTTATGGCATTTATGAAAGTTAATGAGCCAGAAATCGATTATCGGTATTGCATAATTGAATACGCCGCTTGTTACCTTGCATCGGCGCTGGGGGAGGAGGCAGGACCGGAAGCACGACGCAGTTCGGCTGACCACTTGCAGTTGGGCAAGGGTTGGAGAAAGGGTCCTCGGATGGCTTCGTGAAGGAGGTGTTGATCTGGCTACACAGGTCATTAATGTCTCCCTCACCAGACAAACTCATGTCCACCTCTAGTACTAGTAAGAAAGGACCACATAAAAGGGAAGCGGGAGGATGAAAATAAGGTACAGTATGGGAGCGAGAAAACGGGAGATGAGGAGTCTCGCCACCTCTTCAACAAAAACACGACCGTATTTTCCACACTAAAAGGCGCACTGGATTATGAGGCGCACCTTCAATGAACGGCCTATTTTGTAATTTTTTTTCATACATTGGGCATTATAAGACGCAATCCACAATGCATCCACTAGATGGAGCTACGCTCAAGGAAACATCAACAGAACGATCAGATGTCAGTAAAACTTAAGTTTGAAGCTGCGTTGTCAGCATGTCTCGAGCAAGGAGCCATTTTGGAGTCGAATTATTACCGTAATGACCAGACACAAGGCGCATCGGATTTTAAGGCGAGCTGTGAGCTTTTAAGAAAATGGAAGGCTTTTAGGTGCGCCTTTTAGTGCGGAAAATACGGCATTGGTTTTCGTTGAGATTGCGATTTTACATTCAAATGTTTTTTTTTCCCTGCATGGACTACAGTCATAATAAGATGCAATGTGAAATCAATTTCCCCCCGTGGAGGACATTTTAGTAGGCTGTCGTTTTGCAATCAGGATTGGCTAAGGCGAAGCTATAAACACGAGGCAGATCTTCGCGCCAGCTCCTGTTTTTAGCCGCAAGAACGTTTCAACTCACCAGAGTTCTTGGCTTCGAAGTCGGTCTTGCGTTGCAGTGTGGATGGCAGGTCGTTGAGGCGAAGTGACAGCTGTCTCTTAAAGGGAGAGTTCTTCTGACTCAGAGCTGGAAATCCCCGGAATGAGCCTTGACGCACCAGTTGCTCGATGGGTGCATGGCGGCGGGGGATGGCATGGGGCCCGCCGGGTTCTGCTGCGCCCTCGGGTGGGGAGGCAGTACCGGGTGGGAGGGCTGCATGAACAGAGGGCTGGTCTGGAGGAACGAGAGTCGAGTCATGGACAAAACACAGGCTATTACCACGCCATCAGACACACCTCAGTAGGTCTAATTTGATGAAACATGAGCGGGGGGGGATCATTCTCAGTGTGATGCATTGCTGTCGCAAGCCGCAACAAACACACATTGCCACTCTGTCAATTAAGACTGCACATTTAAATCTCTGTTGGTGCTGCAACAGTTTGTGCCATTAGGGGTCCCGGAAAGTAAGTCACTCGCATGATTTTTTTTGCATAAGGTTTTTACACCAAGCCACCCATTTTATTTATTTAAAAAAAAAAAAAGTGATCAAAATTCTTCTTCAATCAAATTCCAAAATGTGCCACGACCTCACCTTTGTTCTTTTCCGGCAACTTGTCATCTCGTTCACTACCGCTGCCGTGTTGACTGCAGGCAGAGTTGGCGCGGAAGGAACCCTCGCGTACGAAGGACGTGCGGGTGGCGTCAAAAGATGCCGTCACGCCACACTCCTTCTCTCTCCGCTGTTTCCTCTCCAAACAGGCGGCAAAGGCGCAGCCCACCGCGTGGCTCAGTCTCTCCCCCTAACGCAGCAGAAAGAAAAATATCTTAAAAACTTTAAACGATCCCAGATGTGTTGTCTGATCGTTCGATTTCACCCGGCGCGATTCAAGCGAGTCATACTTTGACATGCGATACAATTGACACTATTAAGATCAGATAAATTTATAATCATCCCACTTAGATCTTATGTTGGGTTGTTTAAAAAATAAGGCCAATCCTCGAGCTCCGTATGGTCCTTTGGGAGGATGCAGAATTGAAGGAAAATGTTTTTGTTTTTTTTTCTGGGTGTGTTTCTTCTTGACTTATCCCTTCCAAACACACAACTGCATGTTCAATGTCGTCTTTTTTTTCCAATTTTTTTTTATCTTTGTTGAATTAACTTGTGCCCCGCTGCTGTCAATTCACGCTATTGACAGATTTCAAGCAGCTAACAGCGGCCTGCTGACTTCCACTTGGACTGTAGGTGGAGTGTACCAACTTAGAGCTAGAGTAAAGATAATTACAGCGACATAGAAGCACCATCCGTTATTTTTTTCTTCCCTTCACTGTAAACCCGAATAAGTTAGCAGAACTAAAAAAAAGTGAGGCAATAAAAATCATATTTTTTGAGTTGGTGAACTCAAAATTTCGAGTTCTCTGAACTTCAATGTTTTGCGTATATCCAACTTATATTTTTTAATATAGTTACTCAAAAACTTACAGTTACAGCAACTCAATTATTCTTTGTTACTTACTTATAAATTAATTTTCAAAACTTAATTTATTAAGTTAACAGAACTAAATTTTATTTTTTTTTTAATTCTATTAACTTAATAAAGTTAAGATTTGTAAAGCATAATAACAGACAAAATCTTTGAAGGGGCTTCAAAAATTGAAAGACTCATTGTAGTATAAATTCAGACAAGGAGAAAGACAAAGAAGCTTGCGGCGGCCCCCCTCACCGAGTCTTTGAGAGCCATGAAGCAGTGGCACATCCAACGTCTGGTGGTGCCATCTCTGCAGATGTAGGAGAATGCCTTGTCGTAGTTTCGATCCGGGGCACAGAAGGAAACTTTCTCTATGGTCTGGTCCACAATCAGGTCCTGGAAGAATGAAGACAACATTTTGACATCTTACATGTGCAGTTGGTACATTTCTGGCAGAAGTGAAAACGGACAGTAACTACTAGAATGGAATACTGAGTCTGCAACATACTGTACGAACAACACATTTCTTTCCATAGACATCACTTTGGCCAAAATGGGCTGAGAGTCAAGGCCAATGGAGTGCTGAGTAAAGGGATCCGATCCCGAAACCACCACTCTTTCCGAGCCGTAAAAAGCCTTTTCAGTTCTACCTATAAAAGTCGGTAAAAGATTGTTGACACTTTCAATCTCTGGGATGTTTGCTTCACTCGCCTTTCCTTGGATGAAAAGTTTATTCAGCCTGCATCGGTGTCGACAGAGGAGACTTGGAGGGGGGTATCGCTTTCTTCGTGTATATTTAGGGGCCCCGAGCTCCCCCGCTTTGACACTTCAAAAACAAAAAAAGGGAAGCGCAACACAAGAGCCGAGAGGCAGATGAAAGGGACGAAGGAAGACAGAGGGGGGACTCACGCATGCATCCCGTTTGGCCTCAGAAAACAAAGAAAGGAGTGGATGAGGAGAGAGAGAGAAAAAGAGGGTGAATGAAAACCAGAGAAGACAAAAAGTGGATAAAGAGGAGAAAGAATAACGGGCCATTCAATGCGGCCTGTGAGTGAATGCGGGGGGGCCGCGAGTACCGAGGTGAAAGGCAGTGCAGAGCAGAGTGTCTTCTTTGATGTCTGCTTTTGATTCACTGTGCAACAATCACCTCCTATTAATAGGACACACCTCAGTCAAGTGCAGGGAAAGGCCAATCGAGCTACTGACTGACGTAGACAAGGTTTCGTGTGTGTGTGTGTGTGTGTGTGTGTGTGTGTGTGTGTACATGTGAGACCTAACAGCAAGGGAAAAACACAGCATGGTGATGTGACTTCGTCTCCTCTCGCTACAAGAAAGAATTTAAACTTCGGTTTCTGGTGGCGCATCACTGAAGGTCATGTGGCGCCAATACAGACACGCAGTGCCATTCGGAGTCTGTGTTTCACCACTTTATCATTGACTGAGACTGACACCGAGAGGAAAGGTCATGAAGAGCCATGGGGCAGACAAAGAAGCGGGATATCATAATATAGGCCCCCACCATGCGACGTCACATTTGTGCGCCTCGCGCAGCCTGGGGGGGGTAAGCGGCCGAGTAAGATCGAGGTCAAGATGCAAAACAGTCATTTGCACAGTTATATTTTAGACTTCCATTGCCAGCTGTTGAACATATATGGATTAGAGGATAAAGAGGAGAAAAAGAGGTGGTATTTTGAAGCCGTGCCTGGGGGCGTTGTTGGGAGTTGTGACCTTAAGCGTGAATGTATTTGTGTGCAGTCTTCTTACAATGTGAAAAGAAGGAGCGTACAGCGTTTCTCCATTGAACGCTCGTCTTTATTCTCTGCAGCGCTTTAATGCGTTCGACTTTGAAAAGAGTCCCCGGTGAATTGCACTCACACAGGGAGGCCTCTCAGTCACCAGACATTCCTCAAGTGCAATTTTATGTCTCAGCCTCTCCTCCTGCGAAATACCTTTGGCAAGCCGCTTGGACCAAGACGAGCACGGAATGGGAGAGAATATTTTAATTTAACGCCGCACTTCTCCTTTCAGTGGGTACATCTGCGCAATCAATTGGATTGCAACGCGAGAGCAGTAATTCGGCCTTGGCAAAGTTATTCATGCTTCGTTTGAATGACAGTCAAAAAGGTGAAAAATGCTCGTTTTCTCTCGATGTCAACGTGTAACGTCGAAGAACATTGCATAAGAGCTCATACGTTTTCTCTGTCTTGTACAGGACGATGTGTGCATGGTACTTGTATGCTGTCACGCAGAGCTTCAAAGTATACAAACACAATATTCGACATGAAAAGATACCTCGCTGACACAGTCGATCCATAGTGAGCGTTAGTATCGTTGTAAAGGTGAACTTTACAGTTCAGTTGACCAAATAAAGACTGATTTTTATGCGATGCAGGTTTTCCTCACTCACGCGTGTTTGTGACATGTGCGCGACTGTAATGTCATGTTGGTTTTCTTTGTCATTAAAAAAAAAAAAAGTACAAGAAAATAGATACAGGTAAAACGTTTAAGTCAAAAACATGCTTACCTTTGTTTTATCATCCACCACCCTGAGTCCATCAGCTGAAACCCACAATACTGCCTTCACTGTCTTTTTCCCACTCTGCAAGGACCAAAAAAAAACAAAAAAAAGGAAGAGAATGAATGCTGCATCAGAAAGCTGACTAATTTACACGTCTCACTTCACCGGATGAATGAACTCATTCTAGCAGTGATGTCATCAAAAGCTATTGTTTGAATGTCTTGCCATACTAATGGTGTAAAGTTACAAGATCAAGGTCATCTTTATTGTCAAATATGTTTTATGTATGACATGCAGCATAGATGAAATTTCTTTCTTCTCAATCCTCAGTGCAAACATGCAATGTTGTGGGAGGAGAGAACAGGGCCATCCAAAACTGGAGACACAAAATGATTTTTTATAACACACGGGCCAACTCAGCCTATATGTTGTACCTTAAAGTACTTCATGAAATAAAATTAAAAAAAAAACACGTCTGCTGAATTGTGATTGTAGGAGTCAGAGAAACAGAATGAAAAACAATTTGTCTTTGAACCATTGTGTCGCAAGCCTCGAAGCTGGAGTCGTTGCATAATCCCACAGAGAGAAAGCCAACAGAATAATAGACAGGACACAATTTATGGTAGCAGGAGTTAAAGTGGGAGCTAAATGAGGTGGGTGAGGGATTTATTAATAAGTGGAGACTTTCGAGAGTGTGCATTTCAAACACACGGCAATGTTTCCCTGGTTGTGTATCAGCAAAACTAAACTAGAAATACACGACATGACCGAGAGTATTGAATGAGTTTGTGCACTTATGAGTACACGTCATGTACTCACAATTTTAAGCTTTTTCACCGCCTCCTCGCACACATGCATCCCTCGAGACTCCTCCACCTCCACCAAGCCCAGGTACTGCAGATCAAAGGATGCATGTTATTTTTATTTTTTTTAAAACCATTTCATTGATTTCAACGACTTGTTTTCACAATGGCACTGATCATTGAGGGAGAAGACAAAGATGAAACAGAAACGATAAGCGCGACCATCCGACCCATTCAAAGCGTTTCTATAGGTGCCGTATTGTGTTGTAATGATGACGGGACAGAAAAGGAAGCAGGATTGCAGGAAACGGAGGAAAATAGACTGACCGACAGATGGATCCGTAGACATCTCTTTAACAGATGTATATGCATTGAGTTAACATTTCAAACTATTCAAAAAAAAAAAAGCAAAAAAAAAAACTGCAATTTATCATCCGGAAAATACGGTAATCTTGTCTGGACCGCAGTCTTCATACGGAAGAATCTTTTCTGCTTTTTCACACAATATTAATGTCTAATCTGCAGTAAATAACATACATGCATAGATTTGTGATGTTAGTGATGAATAACCGTCGAGCTGAGTGCCACAGGTATAACGGAATGCAAAAAATCGGGGCTCGCGGAGGCTTACCCGTACAGAGAAGTTGCATTTGCCCTTGCGTACAGCCTCCTCGTCTGCCTGCCACTGATGCGGTCTGCTGGCCTCGGGTACATAGGTGGGCTTCTTCCTTCTCAGGCTCTGACGAAGCTTGTTCATCTCCGGGGTCACGTGCTCCCTGGTACTGTTGACGTAGAGACGGAAGCTCGTTTATCTTCAGGTTAAAGCAGGCATTAAATGGAATATTTTTCATTTGCATGGAAGAGAAAATGAAAACTGAATGGAAGAAATATGATTACCTCTACTACCTTAGTATAGTGCAGGATATTTTGTAATATTTAATTTTTTTGCGGCTCCAGACATATTTGTTTTTTGTTTCTTTGGCCCAATATGGCTCTTTCACCATTTTGGGTTGCCGGCCCCTGGTCTAGTGGGTGGAATGAACAGCAAAGCACCTAAATGTTCTCATCATTCAGACTGCGCACACCTTAATCCACACAAACATTAGTCTATAAACCCCGTTGTGTCTGTGCCGTCTAATCAGAGCGTTCGGCCGCTCTGCTGTGTACAGTGATGCTAATTTGCCTGCGCACTGAAACATGACACCATTGAAAACGCTTTTAAAGGATAATTACTGTTTTCATTCCCCCGCAGTACATTTGCCACAGGCGAGGGTCTGGGGTTCACCGGAAACATCTGAGAGTCTCTCGCCAAAAGCGGAACTATAATAGTCCTTTGCAGCATCAGAGTTGCGGTATTTATGCAAATTGTTTATGCAAATTGTTTGCATTATAACACAGCAGTACAGTCACATCACACACAGTACAGTTTGCTCCAGGTGTCCGGCACAAACTTTTAAGACTCGCCAGGATAAAAAGTGAATCAATTTACAATAATCAGTTAGTCATTGAGAAGCTCAACATTGCCATTTATCCATCCAGACAGTAACTTCCATTATCTTGTATCTCGAATTCAAAGGACTAAAGAGACTAACTTTCATGTTTTCTTACCGTCCGATTGCCCCCGAAATTGGCATACTGGCTGCAACAGGGCGTATAATCGCACATCCTCGACACTGATGACATATAATGTCCATCGAGAAAGCGTAAAATCTGGAGACTGATAAGAAGAGAAAGCTCCCTCTGCTACACACGTGGGTCAGGGTGCGCAGTCACATACAGTATATATATCTGCACACTCGACGCATCACTTCTAATAATCACTCCTGCAGCAGTGGTAATGACTGGCGTGCCGGAAGCGTGCGTAAATTTACACTCCTCCTCACCTCACAGGCGTGTGTGTAATGTGGATTAGTGATACGCGGCGGCTGTAAAACAGCTTGAGTGGCATTACTCATTCCTGGCCCGTGAGACGTGTGCTCAGTGCCAAGAATGGACACGCGCAGACATGCACACCTTCAACGTGCACACATGCCGTAGCTTGTGCCATTCATTTCTGGGAACAGTACCAAGCGCCCGCGTGTGTTCAAGTAATGTGAAACAGAAGGGAGGCGCTAGTTGGGAAGATCGCACGCAAGTGCTCCCATATTGGGCCAGTGGGAGAGAATAAGTTCAGGAACTAAAACACATACACACGCGTGCGCATGGGTGTATACACACACACACACACACACACACACACACACACACACACACACACACACACGAAGATAACAGCCAAAGTTTTTCGTTTTCAGCGTCTATTAACAACATATTTAGGATACCAAAATTGCTTAAAAAAAAAAAAAAGGTAGGACATTAGTTAGACAGTACAGTTCCACGGCAGTTAACTCATTCGCTCCCAAAGACGTTTTTAAACGTCTTTTCAGACTTGGTCCAGAATTGGCTGGTACTGAATGAGTTAAAGAAGCTCACATTCATTTTTTCCGAGCATCACGTTGCAAAATGACAAACGGCGCTGTAGTAAGCAGTAAGAGAGAGTCGCCGGAGACCCATCGGGGCGGAGACACGACTGAGCCCGCCAACATGGAAACACTTTCCATAGTTGTGACCTCACCCTGTCAACGACAACCATATGCACGACTTTTTGAAGCAGCGAAAGATCGGACATTGAAGCATGAATCAATGAAAAGGTCCAAATGAAGACCATTGTGGTCATAAAGCCATCAGCACCTCGGAGTAGACTACACAAACCAGTGGCGTGAGCCCAAAAGAAAAAAAAAAAAAAGCAATTTCCTCTCCAAACATCTGCAATACATTAGTCCGCACTACTTAAACAGAGATGTGATATTTTGGAGAATCTAAAGTCTCTTTGGCCCAAGCTGACCACTCACAGACCTCGCAACAGCCCAAAAACAACAACCCCAAAAGCACGAGACGACATATAGAAAGATGAATTGGAAATCTTATTCTTGTTCCACCCGTTTTGTGGTCCTGTGCAGCAGCAGCAGGAGATCATTCCAGTTGACAAGCATGACAACCACGACTGAGGAGCACATTTGGTGGAAATTGAATTGATTTCTTCTCACGGTCAGGATACATGGTACTTGCCTATAGATGTGTGTGTATCTTTTTTTTTTTTTAAAGTGGCGGGGGACGGGGGGTATAATCTGTGCTAAGACAGCATGACCTCATGTCTTCCCAGCTGTGTTTAGTGATCACGAGATGGGAATTGGATTGATATCTTTGGCTGGACTCCCCTCTCTCTCCCTCTCTTGCTCTCTCTCTCGCAAACACACCCACACACACCCACCCACTGCATTTCTCCACAATCCAGATGTTTTCTGTTCAACAGCAGCTCCAAAATCTTGGTAAAATGAATCATTCTCCGCCCTCACTTTTCTTCTAAACCACATGGTGGTGGAACCAACCTTATTCGAGAAGCAAGAAGAAGGAGACACATGCACTCTGTGTCTCTGTGTCAATTGGTGTGTGCGTGTTAAATTGAGAATGCCTCTGAATCAAACCACAGAAAATTTTTCAGGTTACGCAAAAGTCAAAATCAAATTCAGATGAAATCTGTCGCGGCCCGGTGGTCGAGTGGTTAGCGCGTCGACCTACCAGTGCAGAGGTGCAGTGTTCGATTCCAGCTCCGGCCTTCCTCTGTGGAGTTTGCACGTTCTCCCCGTGCCTGCGTGGGTTTTCTCCGGGTACTCCGGTTTCCTCCCACATTCCAAAAACATGCATGGCAGGTTGATTGAACACTCTAAAATTGTCTCGAGGTGTGAGTGTGAGCGTGGATGGTTGTTCGTCTGTGTGTGCCCTGCGAGTGGCTGGGGACCGGGTTAGGGTGGT